GAACTGGGCTTTGTTTGGAGTGTCCTGGACGAGCAGAGGGAACTAATAGCGCGTGAACAAGTCTAAACAGAAACATACCAAAGAGCAGGTGGAGCAGCTTGAAGCACTGGGCCTCGTTTTGAACTTGGGTAGCGGAGCAGCATCAATTCACACAAGACCCTTTCAAGCATGCAAAGTTATTTTTTGAATGTGAAGACATGTACAGACCACATCGGGATGAGCAAAAAGAATACGACTCCAGGGACATGCATTTTCCCAAGTCACATCAAAAGTATTTCTCCTTGCATTATTGGCGGGTCTTCATCGGCCTGGCACCCCAGTACCTGCCTCAAGGTCCTGTGGTGCTCCGCCCACGATTGCGCACAGCACTTGGCCGAAATCCTCCTGTGAGGGCCAGGCCCAGACGGGGCGACGCGTGGGCCGGGAAGCGGGGGCGAAGAAGCCACATGGAACCTTGGAGTGGGAGAGGTGAAGATCCATACCAACCGGAAGCTAGGATTGGATGATATTTAGGTATTTGTATAGTGGTTTCAAGGTTAGAGTGTGACATGACCCAGAAGCATCGCGATGTGAGTTTTGAGACACTTCTGATGCTCCCAGCGAGATCCCAATTTCCAGCAAGCCAGATACAGTACACTGCTTTGTTAGGGCCGCTTGACTCTATCACCAATGACAATGAAGGATGCACTGTTTCTTTTTCGGTCGAAGCTCCAATCCAGCAACAGAGCCTGCCGTGGTAACTAAACAAGTTCTGGGTACAACCCGAAAGGCTCAGGCATTTTGGTTCGATTCCTTCTAGAGATTCGTCTGCACTCTTTGGGTGACAATGTTTCTTGAGCAAACATGACGAAAGACTACGATGTTGTGGGCAGTCCAAGTAATTTGAACGATTTTCAATCTGTTGGTTTGCTTGATTCAAGCGTGATGATCTTCAGGATAGCTTGGGCTTCTTGTTTGGCTTAGGAGGTGTTGCACATCATCCCAATGGTCATCCGGCCAAAGCCCTTCAAATGGTTTTGCGGTCCTCCTATTTGGACAGGACCATGGGTCTTTTTGCCCGCTCTATTGCGTGAGGCTTAGCCGGTGCGATCATAAAGCCTAAGGCTGCTAAGGGAACGATGGCAAAAGTGCTTGCGCTTTCAGGAAAACAACGGATGAATTCTACTGTGGCAGTTCATGAATTCTGTCGATGGACCGTCCAGCCTGAACTGTTCAATGGGTAGCAGGAGGGATTTGTGGCTCATAGGACATGTTTCCAGCAATCAGGCCGCAGGGTGAAGGCACCGGACCACACGTGAGACTTGTGTCATCTTGTGTCCCATTCCAACCGCTGGTGGGTCATGGAGAGAAGCACTCCGAAAGTGAGGTCACTTGCGACGGGTTTTTGGTCACTTTCAAAGGAACAGGGACCCAGGACTGATTTCGGTGCGTTGAAACCATTGGACCTCGAGCTTTGACTGCCCGTCGCGAGTCGTCCCGGCGATCGCCGTCGCGGCTTGGCGCACGTGACGTGGTGTTGAGGTGATCCTGGATACTCCCCGGGTGGATTGCTGGCGACTCAGATATCAAGTGGTTTGGAAAGGCCAGGTTGTGCAAAATGCTGGATTGAGTTGAGAGCTGTACCCGTCATAGGCTCGAGACCAGCTCACTTTACGGCTTTGGGGCTGTGTGCCGCGGCCCTAGGCCATCCTTGCTTCCTGGATCTTTAGGTCTGGGCCTTGGCGATGTCGACATGGCACAGCCTTAATCTGCAGAACCTTTCCAGGAAGATGTCCTGAAATTCCGAGCAGCTCCCGCGTTCATTTGATGATTTCAGGGAAACCGGTCTCGGGTTGTCACTCTGGTCAAAGGTGTGGTATCAGAAGAAGCTGCCCCCATTGTGGGGACATCCACTGGTGGAGAAATCATCAGGTAGATAGAAACATAATCTGGAGCAGATTCTCTGGAAATCCATTTGTTGGCAACCGAACCATTGGTCCAGCTGCTCACATGTTTCGCTGAGATCCCAAAAGCTTGCGTGCGGGGGGCCCAGCTGCTGTGCTCTTGGAGAAGATTGAAGTGGAGAATGTCAAACGTCTTGAAGCCATAAATGATCCATTTCTGGAGGATGAACATGTATTACCTATTCGGTTTGTTCCACTACAGTGGGAAGCTTCGGCAGGATACAAGGGTCCAGGTACAAGGCTCCACTGCCTCCTGGAATCTATCAACTTGTTGGAACCTGAGAATGTGAACTGTTTGGTTCAGACTAATAAATTGTACCAACCCACCTCTCCACATCGATCCATTGCCCCACCGCCGCCGGCCACGCCGTAGTGCCGCCAAGTGCCGCGGGACCGAGGCGATCAGCTGGCGCGGCGGAGCCTTCGCTGCGTCGCGGGCGAATGGCAAGGCCCCGGCTGCTTGGAGGCGCCACGGTCGTGACCACGGACGGACGGGCGGACGGACACAGTCTAGCGATCCTGAAGGGATGTCATGGATGGAATGCAAACAGGAGAATCTGGAAGTTAAGTTAATCAATAAAAATAATGTTCAGAAGATTTGCGAACCGTTGTTTTTCACTCTTAAGTGCGGAGGGGTTTGATCACAAATATTGAGTGCCTACACACGTGTTGAAAGAATATCTTGACTTTGCAATGCCAAGTTAGTTGGGTCGTTTTTGGAAGGTGAGCTTCGGGCCTCAGAACATACAACCGAAGCTTCCATACCGACCAACACCCCACCCCACAGGCCTTTCCCTGAGAGTCGTCTCCTCTGCCAGGCCGCTTGTGACCAGCCTCCCGTCATTCGGAAGGCCACCCCGAAGTCGCTGAAGGCTTGCGCCCGGGGACCCCAACGGCTTCAGACTTTTCCTTGGATGGGGCATCCGGGGCTGTTGTCAGGACGAAGAGTTGACATTTGGGTGAACGGTAATGTCAGGAGCCACGACTCTTGCTCCACTTCTCTCTTTTTTTCTGGTGCCAAGTTTTGCAAATCCAGCAGAGTTACCCATGAGCCCTGCACCGATTCCGCGAACAACTCTCCGCACGCCATGGCCATGAAACTACTCGCGAATGATGCAAAATCCGACTTTCAAGCCAAAGGCCCTCCAAGCATTCAAAGCAGGTCGCCAAACATTCCAAGGAGGTTTGGAGATCCCAGGCGGGTCGAACCACTGTTTAGTGCTCCAAGTTGTTTAGGCCTCTCTTGGATCACCATGTTCACCTTGCGGAGCAAGACTTTGGTACGGCAATATAGAGACGCTCGGTTGTGGCTCCAGGTAGAATGTTATGATCCACTTGGATCATGATTCATGATATGTTGTTCCATGTTGTTTCTCTGGTGGTGCCACCAGCCAATTCACTGTTCACTCACCCTCACTCAGAGTTCACCTCAACCACCTCCAGCTCGCGGAAACATCAGAAAAAAAAGGAGCAATATCTTCCATGCAGGCCTCGCCCGCATGGGTCCAGCTCAGATGAGTTGTTTCTCTAGTCAATCATCACGATCCCTTTTTTTTGGAAAGGGTCGTTGAAAACGCCGGAAAGGTCCTTGAGTCTTTAGAAGCCTCTGCGGTCGTTCATCTGCACGCCACATGGGCCCACAACGATTTGCGAACACACAGAGCCTTCCTCAGTTGGTGGCTTGGCCAAAAGACAGTGTGGAACCCATTGTTCTTATCGTTCTTATGCTGTTCTGGCGCTTGGACTTGAGAAACTGTGCTGTTGATCGGTAGGTGCTGGACTTGTGGAGTCGAGATTGGGGAGGCAATCTGTCCACCTGCTTGTAGGGTCCCTTCACAACTGCCTATTGCGAAATGGGTGGATCTGAATGAACAATCCCACAAAAGATTCAATTCCCAGGTGTTCAAGGCCAACCAGGGGTTTCGGGATGAATTCGAGAACACCCTGACGAACACATTGTTCTGTAGATTGCCATGAGAAGTGCTGCTTTGCTCCCAACATTGGGTGAACTCCATCCAAAAATCCATGCGGAACACCTCGATTTGGAGCGTCCCATTTTAACCGTCAAATAGGTTGCTCGCTCCGAGCCCCTTCTGAAGGGGGGTTCCCCCAACATGAGAGAGGGAGCTGAGACGGTCCAGCTGGACCCTGTTTCTTGGACTCCCTTGTAGCTTGAGACATTTAGGTGGAAACTCATCTCAAAAGAAATGATTTTGAATGGCTAAAGACCTTGTTGGAAATTTGCAGGAGATGGCAATCCAGAGACGATCCATGAATCAAATACTTCCTTAGGTCATGTTTCGTGTTGTTTCGGGGCGTGTCATGCTTGTCACTCACGCCAACCAAGACTTGGAAAAAGCAGATTAATGATGTACTATGATTTACTCATCTTTATCCCTATGTTGAGAAGGCAAATAGTTCATACAGCTAATCCGGATGTCCAAAAATGTCCACAACCCATTGTCATAAGCTAGTCAATCGCCATGGTTTACTTGCGGCTTTTGCTCTCCCAGAGATAAGCCTACAAGCTGAAACTGAACCCTTGGCAGACTGAGCCTCTTCAGGCTTAAAAACTGCGTTTGTATTTTAACAAAGCAAAAAAGGCTGCAAACCTCCTTCCCTGCAAAAACGGATTTTCATGGACGGCAACCCTCTTCGATTCGTCGTCCTCGTCGCCTTACCCAAGGTTGGACAGGCGCCGGACACGAGGAGATATGGCAGGGCCGCCGTGTGGGAGCTGAAAAGCCCAGCAATTGCTTTGACGAACTGGATACCTCCCAGAACCTCCAAGTCTTCTGGAGGATCGTGGAGGGTCTTTTAGAGATCCCTAAAGAAAAAGAACTAACTCCAAGAGGGTGCCGTCAGAATCTGGGCACCCATCGTGCGTAGAAGGTCCAGCTGACCGATGCCGCTCGAATTAGCTCCTCCCACCGTTGTGGTTCCCTTAAAACAGAGAAAACCAAGAGAAAGCAGGCGCCTAGTAGCGATGGCCTCCAACCGACTAGTGACTAGCGATGGCCTCTAAGAAGAGCTGGCGAAAACGAAGCTCTTTCGGCTGGGCAAATCCCAGGAAGAATGGGGTGCCTCCGACCAGATCACTGCCACTCTTGCGTGGCTGGGCACTGATGAGTTCGCAACGATCCGACTCCGGTGAGGTGGCACTCCGACTCTCGTGGAAAGATGATGTTGATCAGATAGTTTATCAATGTTTATCAGTATATCTGCGCTGAGCAAGGATATTAATATATCTTGCAAGCTGCTCTTTGTCCTTCCCCGAGCATTGGGAGGCTCCTGAAAAAAAGGATTGTGTGTCACACTCATATGCATCCAGATGAAGTCATATAGAAGCAGATGAATTTACTTACAGGTGACCTTGCTTCTGGTTGTCCACATTCGCTTTGAGTTTGCTTCACCAACGAGGAAACCAACCAAAACTGAGGTTGTACAAAGACCGCCAACTGTGACATCAAGAGGTTGAGGTCAGCTTCCACAAGCCTTTGACACCCTCCTGTCAGAACATATGTCAGAACCTGTCGAAGACTATGTTAGCAGCTGTTAGCTCGTGGAGTTGACGGTTTTGGTTGGTTTTCGAGTGGTTGATGTCAATGTGAGAAGGCCCAAAACTCCCCTAGTCGCCGCTGATATTTCTGCTTTTCTGGCCAGTGTGGCGCCAAGTTCTGAAATCTGTTGAGGTCCGGGTCCGATCAGAACAATCTGTTTTTTCTCAGAAGCCCCCTCACTAAAGGACTGCCTTGGTCCTCAGGTCAGCAAGAAGCCAATACCTTACGAGCTGAGCAGAAGAAGAGGAGAGCAGGGAGGGCGAGGTCAAGTTAGGTTCTGCTGAATGACTGTCTTATGTAACTTGCAGATCGACCAAACCCTTTTTTTGATCACCGCTTCGTTTTTGAAACAGAGATGTGGGTTGGTGTCAAAATTGGGGGACTGCCCAGGCCCCCCGCAGAATCTGTGGTTTGCAGGGCTGCTTCTTTTCCTCAACAGAGTAGAGCTGTGGGAGGATTTATACAAAGAAGAGGCTTCTCACACTCTTCACCCCAAGCGAACACCGAAAGCGTGGTGATGATGAACCACTAAGGGAGTCAACGCTGGAAAACCTTAAGACCTTCCCGGTTTAGGCATCCTTGATCCTTGCACAACAAGCTAACGACTGCACCAAATCTCTGCCGCTCAGTGGGAGAAACAAGAGTCGGGGAGTTCCGTCATAAGGGGAATCAGTATGGACCGATTCAATCTGGGTCGAGCGTCAAGTGAAGGGTTCCAATAATAATTGTGCTTCAGGGCAGTATCACCCGGCCTTTGTAACCGTGCAGCGCGGGTTACTTTATTGTACAAACCTTGGGCGAAGTGAGTGAAACACCATCCAATAGTACAATAATGTCGTTGAAATGGCCCCGGGGGGGGTCTTCATCTCTTTTCTTGGCCGCCCCGGCAAACCACGGGAAAAGGTTTAACGCAATTCGCGAGACTCCCAGAGTTGGTAACGCCGAGTCGCACCTGTGTGGGCTTCTTCGTGCCACTGCCACACTTGCAGCAGAAAGCCTTGCGGAAGCTCGGCGAAGATGGTGGTTCCGTGTTCCGGTCGATTGCGCGGGGGTTGTTTTTTTCGGAAAGCAAGCACAGCTTCGAGTTCACCTAGAATCATTGTACTGCTGGACTTGGTGACATGGAAACAGAACCTGTTCGGGTCGGGTCTCTCCTTTCAAATGAGCGAAGTGGCTCTACAAGATCTAAGTTCTTGAGACAACCCCTGGAGAGCCTCAGAGGCTTGTTTTTTGGTGGTTTGCAAGCAAGCCACCCCCCCAGCCAACCTGATGTGTCGCTGCTTTCCCAGCGATCCTCAGCACATTTGTTGCTCATGGGTGTGACTCAAAAAACAAGACCTAAGACCTAAGGACTCTCAAAAGGTTCAACGGGTTCCGATGGTAGGAAAAAAAACGTGAGAGCCAAGGAAGTCTTGTCCCAATCCAAACACCCAGCGAGGCAGAACACCATCACCCGTGCTGCCAAGCTTCAGCATTCGCCGGTCTCAGAGTGGAGGTGCATCGCTGGGCGGCACCGCGTCGCTGTTTCTGTTGCGCGCAGAGGATGAATCGGGTGGGATCAGCTTGGTCAGTTTGACAAACCTTCCAGGTCCGGAATAAAACTTTGCCAGTCATAGACATGCTGTTCATGCACAGGAAGTGGGGCTGTCCGCAGCATTCGACGTGATAGATTGGAGAAACAGATCTCTTTCGTGGGAAGCCTGTCAAGACTGAATGTAGCTTGCTCGTTTTCGGAAGTCCATGTGCAGAAGTTGCTGAAAATCTGAGTTTATGAAAGTTCGGGCCTTGAAAAAAACACAAAACCGACACTTTAGGGTTGACTGCCCATTGCATTTCAGAGCAAAATTGGCGAAAACACCCGCAATCGGAAACCCTCCTTCGACAGAAGAGAGGGAAACAGAGAGAGGGGGAGCGAGGAGAGAGAGAGAGAGAGAGCGAGAGAGAGAGAGAGAGAGCGAGAGAGAGAGAGAGAGTGTGTCATTCGAACGCCGCCAGGTTCATAATGTTCGCTTTAGTTTATTTTCACCACTTCAGTTCAAAACCTGTTCGCTCTTTCATTCGACCTACCGCTCGGCAAAATTCCGTCGCCCAGGTTCCTCCCCTCATCAGGATTTCGATAGAGGGCGTCCATTTTGTTTGGAGAAAAAAGAAGGGTTCAAAGACGAACGTTCCCCCCACATCCCCCCACCGATTTTCCGATGTTCGCCCAGGGACATACGGCCTGGCATCTACTCGTCGAAGGACGTGGTTGCTTGGCAGACATTGGCGTTTTGTTCGGGCCAGGGATGAATCAACTAAAGTGGAGTAACAGTTTTCTC